CACGGCCACCACCTCTATTTCCACGACCTCCCCCACTAGTCACCACAAAACCAGATTTGTCCGAGAGAGAAGAAGACTCTGCACAATAAATAGAAATCCTCCGAAGACGGGCAAACACTTCTTCAAGAGAGGGGAGAGCAGACTCTCCCAATATTTGTACTTGAACAGGTTCATATTCAGCCTTCGGACCCACTAGAAACCTTGTCACATCAAGTTGCTCTCGTTGTTGTTGCTGAACTTGAACATCTAGTGTCAGAGGATGATATACATTAAGCTCATTACGGAGATCTCTCATTCTTGCATAGTATTTCTCCAAGCTTTGCTTACCCTGCTTCAGATTAAAGTACTCTTGGTAAAGTTGATATACTCTAGTGGTATTATCTTGGCCAGAATAAAGTTTCTTAGCATGGTCCCAGATTTCTTTAGTCGTATCCAGGTATATAAAATTCACACTAATTTTAGGTTCCATGCTATTCCACAACCAAGTCATAATTTGTGCATCCTCTTGTTCCCAATCACTAAACCCTAGAGAATCAGAGGGGGGTTTCTCCTCTCTCACATGTTTTACCTTTTTCTTGCCATTTAAAAACACCTCCATAGACTTGGCCCACGACACATAGTTCTCATCATTCAACTTAATAGAGGTCATTTGAACATTTAAGTAATCAGAAGAAATCATAACACCTGCCTTATTGTCACTACCATCTCCAGTTGATGCCATTCTAACCGATTCACCTCACTTCACAAAGAAATCACTATTATAAACAAAGTAGTCACCTTCTACTATTCAGCACCACACCACACACTACTCGACAAAATATAATTATGACCACACTACTACTGTCATGAATTCAGCATTCAAAAACCCTACTTTCAACTCACATATCCAGGTATAAACAAAAGGAAAAGAGGTTCATATGCATACCATCGAATAGAGGGTATCTAGTACACCACCACAACAACTGGAGGCATATTTACCTCCAAGAACAAAAAATGACCACTCCTTTTTGAACCCCTACTGAACTTCCAATCTGTCTAAGAGATATTCAAAAAAAAATCTGATATGGCAGTGATCCCAGGAAGACAAAGGGCGATGAGAGAAGATTAAAAAATCGAACTAGTTTCTTATTGCTCTGATACCATGTAAATAGGTAGATTAATCCTATTCAGTTCAAGTTTCGAAGTATGTAAGAAGAAGAAGAAGAAGAAGAAGAAGAAGAGAAAGAGGAGAAGAAGGGTTCGGCCAGAAGAGAAAAATTCACTCTACCCAGCAAGCCCACTTTGTATTTATAATGTATAAGCTGAATTACAAAAGACAGTATTGTCCCTCATTAAAGATGGGACACATAACCTAAACTTGAATAAAACAGACTATTCACTCTCAATTAGATAGACAAAATACCAAAATACCCTTGTACTATCGACTCTAACAGCCTCAAACACCTTTTGGAAGAGGCGTATCAGAGGCATATGCCTCATGCCTCCGAGAAAAAGAAAAACAAGAACTCCTCCCACCATCTTCCTCTTAAGGCTTATGTTAGACAATGTATGCCCTTAGCACCAATCAGCTTGATGTATATTATGACATTTATTGTAAATGAATAAAATACATATTTGGTTCATGTTATATTAGTGTGTTTTTGTGTAATACCCTTAAACTGGACACTTATGAGACTCGTGTTAGTTTAGAATCTTCACAGCTGTTGGATAGATCTGGGGAGATTTATCTTGCCAAGGCTGACACTGAGGTACATGCAGTGTGGGTTTTCTTGAAACCCTGAACCGGACTAGAATTTCAGTATTGCCCTGGACCTTGAAAATAGATGGGCAAAACTGGAATGTTACACCTGACCCCTAGACTCGATTATGGTACTACACTAGGTGTCGGATTGGACTGTCTTTGATATGCCAATCAGTGAGATCCTTAAAGGGGATCAAAACCTAGGTATGATGGGGCAATTCGAGAATTCACYTGAGTGGGTGATCATAGTGACAGGATCAGCCCCTTTGTCGGACAAAGTGGATGATCGGAAAATGCAGTCTCTCTGATGGAAACCTAAATTGCCGATAGTTGATTTCAAACTTGTTGAAATTTATTTTGCAAAATATATTTATATAGAGATATACATATATACTATGATTTCACAAAATGTTTGCAAAAGGTTTTAATTTCCGGGATTCATGTGAGTAGAGAATGCAACACTGTACCTTGCAGCTAAGGGAGAGGTCATCTCTCATCGGGTAGTGTTTGATTATTATGGGCTGAGAGGTTAAGTTTAAGACCATTAAGGGATAATAAACCTGATGGGCTAATCTCACATCTGCCCACAGTCCTTGGGCCTTCATAAGATGACTGGACCCAAGGGCCATTTAGTGTAAATGTTGGGCCCATTAAGAGCTCATTCTGATGGAATCAAGGGTTCAATGTATTCAGTAGTGAATTCGACCAGGCCTTGCAACAGAGGCTAGGCTGAACCCATTGGCTTATCTGGAGATCAATGATAGGGCCCCACGCCATACAAAGAGAGCCAAGCTAGCCAACATTAAAAGCGAGCCTAAAATCTTAATGGGCCTAAAGCCCATTTTAAATTGGGTTAATTGGATTAATTAAATAGGGGGCAAATCTGGGTATGGATCAGCAGATTAGGATAAGAGGATAACTTTTATCCACTTAAAGAGTCCAGATCCAAATAGAAATTTGGATAAGAAAACTTCTAATTTGATTAGGAGTAGCTGATCTTGATCTGTAGATAAGGGATTATCCTTATCACTTAAAGAGTTTAGATGCAAATAAAGATTTGGATCAAGAAACTCCTGATCAGATTAGGAGATTGACTCTTTAAGGTCTATATAAAGGAGGAGGGTGAACTGGAATGTACATACACAGTTCTACTGTTTTCTGCATTCAACTCTCTCTCCTTCTGCTCTTGCCGCCCTACCCTGTTCAATCTCCACCTCTTGGAGTGGTCAAGATTGGATCTTGATATTGTTTCTTGGTGGAAGAAACAATTTTGAAGCTGTGCTCACATCCGTACACAATTCTTGCTGAAGAATTGGGGTTCTTGCTGAAGAATCCATTGCTGATCCTATCGCACCCTAAGCTGTTTCATCTTCAGTGGAGGAAGGATTTGGTACCCTCTTTGGACATGAACACCTACGTTGGGAAGAGCATTTTGCATGGGTTCCGTATCAAGTATTCCTCTCCCTAATCTTGGTTTCAGATTTGGTCCGGTTTGATTCAAGAACGAACATTGAAAAATGCAGTTTTTCTAAATCAGGGAATAGGATTCCCAGATGGGATAAAGAAATTTTTGAAATTTCGCCCAGCCACCCTACATGGTTCGGCCATCCAAATGGTAGATATCCCATCCCTTCAGCTTACACCACCTTATGCTTGGGAGGTTTATGCTTTTTGCATTTTGAAACACACCTCATGCCTCCAGGTAGTGGAACACCTCACATCATGCCTGTGTGTTTTTAAGCAATGGATAGTTCTATTTTCTATTGGGGTTTTTGGTTGTAATGGGAAGAATTGTATATCCTCTGTTCAACTTCTCATTGTATAGGGGTTTCTTTGTATGTGTTTTTTGATATTAATGAAATACTTTACCTTACAGTTAAAAAAAAAAAGGGTAGGTTTCTCTCCAACCCACTAGGAATTCCTCAGATATTTGTACCACCCCTAATCTCTCCTCTGCAAGTATTTGTTAAGTATTTTCCCTCAATTGTATCCCTAGAGAGAAATCTTCCCTGGTGCCATTGGGAGAAACAGGAAAAAGTGAGCTCATTCAGTCCAAGGACTCCAACTGTTTCCAAAATCAAAGACGAACACTATAAACTGCAAAATAGAGCCTAGAAAAAATTTAAGCACCACCATCAGTAGCACCAAGATATGATCTTTAAGCATTTCTATGACTTCTTGATCTTCTAGAATCTACTCCAAGAATCTTCCTTGGGCATCAATCTATGGAGTAAAAAAATCTCAAAAAAAAACATCTATGCCAAGGATAAAACAATAGATCAATTAGCTTCCAAATCATTCCATGCAGTTTGTTGATCTTGAAACTGCATGGGCTTCACTAGGGGATGGGGTGTAATTTCTCTAATACCAACTTGTTATTCAGTATTTCAGTTAAAGTAGAAATTTAGAATTGTAAGAATATGAGAGAAGAATAAAGAATAAACAGTTCAGATTATAGTTGAAAGAGCATAGAAGAAGAGAACAGAATGTTGAAGAAAAACATCTAATCTAGACAGCTATCCTTACATTCATATATCTACCAGTCATTACAAGCAAAAAATGATCAACTTACCCCTGCTGCCACACTTCAACAAAAATGATACACTACAAACAGAAAATAACCAATAACAATAACAATAAAACAGGAAAAACCACAAGAATGAAACCAGCACCAAACAGAGGAGATGGAATCAAGTCTTCCATCTCCTTTAAAGCATCTTCTCTGTAGAGATAATTTAAAGAACAACATCACAACAAAAAGCTTTCATCTGTGGGGGCAAGTGACCAGCCTAAATAGCTTTACAAGGGAAGGCTTGAAAAGAAGAATTTGATTAGTAAAGATTTTCTGTCTATAACGATTCCATCAAGTTGAAAATATTTCTCTCATTCTGAAATTTTCTATGAAGTTTCCCATAAAATTTCTGATAAGAATTGAAATGTTCCTTCAAATCAAGATCACCTATATTGATCTCAAGTAAGAGAAGTGGTTGAGGAGAAAGGGAATAAGACAATTGCTATCTGTTTAACTTTGTTTTATTTGTTTCACAAAGACTTTGCATTTAAATGTCCTCTTTATGAAACAATTTTAGGGTAGATTACCCCTTGGATAAGATCCTATAAAAGTATCTATCAACTTTGATCTATAGCACAATTTCATAGTCAGCAATGATAAATTTCAAATCTGATTTATTACATGCTTCTACAAATTATGATATGCAAGTATGGAAAAATGGGAAAATATATTAGAAGTAAATATCACCTTCAAGAAAATGAGGTGACGATATAATTCTGGATCTAGTGAGGGCAAGTCATTTAAATAGTTGTACCTGAGCAATAGAACCAATGGAAGTACCGGTATTAGAGCAACAGAAAAGGAAAACCATACTATCAAGTGAAGAAAGGGAACAAGAAATCTCTTCATTAAAATAAGACTCTTAACTAAAACTGAGAACCCTAAACCATGAGAAAATTGCATGTGTTAACCATTATGGATGCTATAAAGCAAGTTTAAAAAAAATGGTTTCAGTCTAAACCTGGGACCCAGGGTAATGAAGTTAATTAGCAGTTAGAAAAGCTTATGGAAACAATTGTAACTAGCAAAAAGGGTTTTTCTATTTGGTGCAATTAGAATTCTTCTCCATACAGTGTAGTGAACCAAACTGGCCATCAAATAGATACCCATTGAATCAGCCATGCTCTTACTCCCCCAGTTTTCACATCAGCATATAGCCCACCATTTTTTTGAAGAAATTCCCCAAGTTGTGTTGAATACCCAAATGAAATAGGGCCATCACCAAATGCAAATGATAGTCCTGGCTACCCAGCCATAGTTGACAAGGTGATGCCTACGCAGGCCCCTAGGCGATAAGGCACCCCTTGAAGCTCACCTCGCCTAACTGCCAAGCAGATATTATAAAATACTTTTTAATTCTTTATTTTTTAACATTATAATTATAAAATAGAGATTATTAACCTAAAATGTTCATTTTGCGTGTTTACATACTAATTTCTTTTTATTATTTTCTTATTTGTTAGGGTTTAATCAACACAAACATTGCTAAATGCTGTATTAAACTCTCAAAGACCAATAAATAAGGAAGAACTTGAAATTTTGTCTACTACTACTTTTTCTTTTCTTCTCATGAATATGTTGATTTTCTATATTTTAACATGAACTCTATACTTTTCTTATGAAAATTATGAATAATTATTAAGGAAATATGGTTATGGTACCCAGGGAACTACCCCAGGATCTATGCTTTCTACATAAAAAATCCATCACCTAGGTGACTAGGCAACAAGGCACCCCCTTGTTGCCTGGCCTCGCTTTGGTGCCTTGAAAACTATGTACCAGCATCTTCGGAAAGGTAGACTAGATGTCAACCTAACCTTTGACATTATTTTGCACTAAGTGGCAACTCTCACACTTGAACCAATGTGGTGTGCTAGTGTCAGTGAGCTCACATTTTGATTCATGCTGCTAGCACATGCTGAACTTTAAGCTTAATTGCACTTATTCTGGACAATAGGCAAGGTCTTCAGGAGTGAAATTTGCTCTACAAATAGATGGTGGCTGGAAGGAAGAAGGGATCTTATTGTAGCCCAAGCCATCGTGCCATGTCAAAGATTATTCATAATTTACAGTTCTTCAGCGAACAACATAACTGATAAAGAGAGCCTCTTGATACCAAGAAAGAGCAGGAATTTTTGTCTTTGTCCACCCTAATATAAATAGAAGAGCTGGTGCTGCCAGCCTAACTTTGACTCAAAATCTCTCTCTTCTCTCCTCTTTCTCTCTAATACTTCCTACTAAGAAAACATGGTATCAAAGCATCGGGTTTGGGATTAAAGACAGTTCAATCAAGTGTATCTTCAGATTTTTTTTCTTCTTTTTTGGATCGAATCTAGAGGGAAAGTACATCTGCTGATCTCTAAGTGGTTCCTGCATTGTTTCTTCCCTTTTTTTCTTGGTTGTGTGCAGAGAAACCCTCTGTAAAAGGGGTGAACAGATGCTGTGAAGGTGTTTTCAGTCCTATGTGGACCATGCGATCCTTTTTTGTTCCCAGGTAGGAGGGTTGTGTTCGACTGGATGAGCTGTACCTGCTGTGACAGCAGCTTTATCCATTTTCTAGGTGATTGTAGTACTCATGTTGCCTAAAATAGGATGAAGTGATCCTCGTAGGGGCTGTCCAGACCAAAAATATATTTAGTTTTACTTCTGCAATTCTTTTTCAGCAGTGTGATAGTGCTTTTCTTTGGTTTCAACAGAGGGGAATGATCCTATAGTTCTGGTTTGTGTGAACTCAAGTGTGTTAGTGACAGTGGTGACAATTTCCTTCTTTTTCTGCTGTTCTTTGTGACTGAATAGTGCAATCAACTCATTCCTAACATGTCTTCTGAGGATTCAGTTGTCTCAGGTGTCTTCAAGCCACAGTGGAGTGAGTGGGGGATTTGATATGAACTTGTCTATGGCTGTAATTCCCTTTGATGGACTCAATTACCTAGAATGGTCGAAGGGGATTAAACTCTATATAACTGCAAGGGGGAAATAGGTTATAATTAATGATAAGACTAAAGAACCAAAGCCTGGGAGTGCAGACCATGATAGGTGGGATGAAGAAAACAGAATGGTGAAGTTGTGGCTGTTACTATCCATGCTGCCATAGGTGAGGAAGGCCTTCATGTGGGCAGAAACTGCTTATGAGATTTGGGAGCAATCTAAAATTATTTATTCAGAGCAACGACACCATGCAAACATATCAGTTGCTAGCTGCTCCTTCAACTTGCAAGCAGGGTAAAAGGAGTCTCTCATCATACTACTCGGATTTGACCTCCACTTGGAAAGAATTAGATCACTATCAGAATATGGATTGGAAATGTGATGTGGATGCTAAGGCCTACAAGTCTGATTTCTCAGCAACAGGTCTTTGCCTTTCTTTTGGGGCTGAACCCTATGTATGAATCTATTAGGGTTCAGATATTGGGTAGTACAGGTCGCCCATCAGTAATAGGAAGTGTATCTAGTACAGTCAGAAGAGAGCAAGAAAAATGTGATGAATTGTTCAGAGGGGGAGCCAGTTGCTCTGGCAGTTAGGGGAGGTGCAAACATTAGTGGAAGTTCCTTAAGAAGGGTGATTCTCAAAAAAAGGGTGGATGAAAAAGATAAACTGTGGTGTACTCATTGCCACTAGGGACACCTGTTGGGATCTCCATGGAAAGCTTAAGTGGGCATAAGAACTAAGTAAGAAATCAGTTCAAGAACATAATAAAAAGCCTAGTTAGTAGGGTCAAAAGAAGTATGACTCCGCAAACATGGTTTCTCAAGAACATTAGATTTCAGATCCCACTATGAACCAAGGTCGCCCTTTGGTTCTGATCCAAAGGAAGATATCATCAACTCATTCTGTGACCATTTTGAGTTGTATGGTAGGACACTTGTTAGATGGATTCTGGCATTACTCCCTCCACTTCCTTTGCGTCTACATTAGGTAACTCTGCCATAGCCTTCCATGTATCTTCTCTTACTTCAAAGTCTCCCTGGATCATGACACTAGAGTCTCGAACCACATGACGGGCAAGTGCAATTTATTTCAGTTTTATAATTCACTTTTTGAGAAAGATAAGGTGAGACTAGTTGATGGTTCATTTTGCATCATATTTGGTGAAGGAACAATTTCCCTCCCATTGGTCATTACTCTCTCAAATGCAATGCATGTACCAAATTTCCCATAAACTTGTTTTTCATTACAAATTCATTGAAAGGCTCAGTAACCTTTTTTTCCTTCTTGTCTTAGATTTGACCACGATGGAGGTGATTAGTGTAGGTAGTATGGTCAATGGTCTCTATGTGATGGAGAATAAAGCTATTTTGAAGCCACATAGTCTTGTTTTGTAGCTGTAGAGTCCATGAATTAGGTTTATTTATAGCATAGTCGTTTTGGTTATTTATCTATTAAAGTCAATGTCCATGTTTGAGTTGAAATATCAAACTTGTCAGTTGAGCAAACATTGTAGAAATGAGTTCCTTTAAAGAATAATAACGTTGGATTTCCTTTTCATATTATTCATTTTGATGTTTGGGGCTCTATTACTTTACCCTCTGAGTAGGGCTGTCAATTGGACTGGATTTGGTCCAATCCAGTCCAATCCAATATTGGTCCATTTACAAATGGACTGGACCAAATCCAGTCCAAATCCATATAAACCAAGTCCAATCCAGTCCAAATAAAATGCAAATGGACCGGATTGGGTCCAATCCAATCCAAATTGAATCAAACACCAAAATAACATGAGAAATCCAATAAATATATGAAAAAGCTACAACACTTGCTACATTCCAATCCCGTCCAATTAAAATGCAAACAGACCAGATTGGGTCCAATCCAATCCAAAGTGAATGAATAGAAGTACATTAACAAAAGTTCTTTCATAAAAGTACATTCATAAAAATGCTTTTGTAAAAGTGTTTTCATAAATGTACTTTGATAAAAGTACTTTCGTAAAAGTGCTTTCATAAATGTACTTTGATCAAAGTACTTCGTAAAAATGCTTTCGTAAAAGTACTTTTACAAAAGTGCTTTTATAAAAGTACTTTTGTAAAGGTACATTCGGTCGTCCAAACTTAATGGTCCAAAGTATTTAATGGATTGGATTGGACATTCAATCGTAGCGGATTTATAGTGAACTAAATCAGATTGAACCAATATCCAGTCCATTGATAGAAGAAAAGAATATAGGTGTCAACGGACCCAGTTTGGGATGGAACTGATCTAAATTAAAATCAATTTGAATAGATTGGACAGTTGAAGCATTGAATTGCACCAATCCAAAGTGGTCCAAAATGACTCATATTGGACCGGATTGGGTTGGACCAAATCTGATCCAATTGACACTACTAACAAATAATAGAAACTACAAAAAATAAGAGAGATCTAAAAAAGGAAAGTGGATAAAAACAAGAACATTCCAATTGGACCGGATTAAGTCTGATCTGATCCAATCTAACATAGGTCCATTCACAAATGAACTAGACCTAATCCAATCCAAATCCATACAAACCAAGTCCAAACCGGTCCAATTGAAATGCAAATGGACCGAATTGGGTCCAATCCGATCCAAATTGAATGAAATTTCAAAAATTACATGAAAACCCCATAGATTATAAAAGCTACAATAATATATAACAAATTCACAAAATATAAAAATGCAGAAATATGGCTGCAAAAGATACAAACAGTTCATCCAAACAAAAATACAAATATTAAGAAAATTATTGAAAAATACAAGTATTAATAAAAACACCAAAATTACAAAAAAAATGAAAAAC